GCACCGGTCAGCAAAGCACCCAGCCTGCCACCTCGTCCCCGCCGTAAAACCCTCGCTGTCCTACGGCGTCAACGTGGCGCGCATCAGGGTGAGCGAGCGTGCGCGCAGGTGGGTGGTAGCTATTTCTCGGGAGTAGCTGGTAGCCTCGTCTATTCTTGCTGCAACAGAGCTGTGCCAGCTTTGGAACGGTACAAATGCTTTTCCCTGTGCTCCTGTCCTCGTCACAAAGCTCCCGTGGCTGTCGGGTTGGCGTTGGGGCAGGGGTGGGCACCCTTTCTCAGCAAGTCCTTGTACCACCCTGCAGAGCTGCTGGCAACAACAACAAAAATCTGAGAAGCTCCTCGCTGGCCGGCGATCGTTCCTCTTCTGAGCAGGCTGATTCAGCTCGCGTTTGGGAGTGGGTGGGAGCGAGGATGCTGGAGCTTGCTGGAAAGGCACGTTTGTAGCTTAGCAACAGGGTCAGAGGAAGCCAACCAACTGGAGGGGTTGCGGAGAGCCTCTCCTGGCAGCCAGGAATCCACGCCTGACTGCTTCCAGCAAACCTCTCCGCCTGCGCCAGGCAAAGCCTTTCAAAGGCAGAAACCACCCCCCGGTGCCGCTACCCCCTCCCCACCCCTGCCCCTGCCCAGCGCTGCCACGCGCTCAAAAAAAAAACCATTTATGCCTGCCGTTGTTGCTGTTGGCAGGGCACGGCGGAGGCGCGGAACGCATTTGGTTCCCTCCGCCTCGCAGCCAGGGGAGGACTTCACTGCTCCCGCTCGTGCTGGCGTTCGCCTCGGTCCACTCACCGTTTGCTTCCCCCTGCCAAAGCGACCATCTCTGCCCCGTGCTCTGCTCACACCACTCGATCATTTCACTGCCACAACGGAGGCAAAGCTGGACAGCAGCTGACCCCAGCCTGGGGTAATCCGGAGGCTGCTTTCTCCTCCCTGGCAAAGGGCACAGAGCAGGACCGGCCGCCTCTCAGCTCCCCGGCGTTTCAGCTTTACCCTCCCAAACACGGACGCTTTGGGACGGAGCCGTTGGACTGACTGAGACCACAACCCTGTGGTACTTGTGTTCAGAAGATGCTGATGCGATGGTGTCCAGGGAGGGAGCGCACCCTCCATTTATACACCGCTATGTCAAAGTTGCACCCTCATCTAGAAAAAGGGGGGGAGTCAACACGCACCCACCCGCTTCCATCAGCAGCAACTGGATTCCCAGGCACAAACGTTTTGCCCGGCTCCCTGATTCAGTCTGCGCCTGTTTACATCCCGCATCCCCCGTTCAGTGCAGAGGCAAGAGAAAAATGCTTGCTTTGCCACTGCGTGTGCGCGGTCTTCCACGTTTGCCAGCAAAAGCATCTCGGAAATAGGATGACCTGGGAGGGGTCTCTGCAAACTGAGCAGCTCAAATCCGACTGTCTGGCAACCTACAAACTCTGCTTCCCTTTTACAGCTCCCTCTTTTCAACACCCTCTTCCCCATGCAAACCTCCAGCAAGGGCTCTCCACGCAGCGGTTGCAGGTGCCCGCGTCTCTTCGCAGGGGCTGCAGCCCTGCCCGCGGCAGCTGGCGCATAAGCAGCTTTGCGACTCTGAACCTTCTGCTTTAGCCCCAATTACGAATCCTGCTGCAGTTTTAAATGCTCATGACTGGCTTATTGTAAGGTCTTTGTGCCTCAACCTCTGCTCAGAGGGAACGCTTGCCCTTCTCCCCTTTGATGGCAAGGATGTCCTGGGATATGTGTCATCTGTTTCGAAGAAGCGATCCCTGCTCAGTGCCCGGGCAGAAGATGAATCACGTCTGGCTCTGTGCGTTGGAAGAGATGTTTTGCTGAGCCCAGCCTGGCAATAGGTCAGCGAACTCCCTTTCACTGCAGCTACAGCCAGCATTTTAGAACTAGCAGCTTTGACAACTCCTCACGCCTCACGCTAGCCCTCTCCGCGAGCCACCCATGTTTAGAAAGAAGAGCAGCAGCCCTTGGTTTGCAGTTTTGAGGAAGAACTTCTTCCCTCTGAGGGTGACGGAGCCCTGGCCCAGGCTGCCCAGGGAGGTTGTGGAGTCTCCTTCTCTGGAGATATTC